GATTAATAGCTTGGCGCTGATAATGACAAGACTCATTGATGATGCCGACTGGGAATGTACCAAATCCACGTTCTAATGCTTGGAATTATGACGGTTACTATAGCTGAGGATTTCTGACAAGTCACATCCGATTAAGTTGTTTCGACAATACGAATAAGTTGCGAAAACGAGTCCAGACATTCTTCTATACATCGAAAGGAAACTACGACCAAAATAGCGGCCACAACATATTTGTCTTCATATCTACCCTTAATAAACTTAGGCTGTAGGATATGACACGGGGTTTCGTAACCTGACTTGCATGCTATCGAACTTACATCTCATTATCACACCCGAAGGAGGTCAAGGACTTACGCAGTCTCGCTAGTGGCTTTTTTCAGGGGCCATTAAGTCTTGATGACCAGAGCTTGACATTATCCTTTTTTGAGCACTGTTATTTAGCGCTGGTATTGAGCATAGACCATCATTGAAGATAATTAGTTAAACCATCGTATATCTACCTATGCCAATTAATTTTCGTTTTTTAGTTATGAATATATATAAGAAGTAGGATAGAGCCAATTAATCTTTCTAACCCAGTATTAGTGTGAGAATTTTACAAGAATTTGTTCCAATTCTGATGATGCTTATCATTGGATGGACAAAAACTGAACCCAATTTTGACAAAAAAGAAGGGTGGAGGTCTTGTGGACTGCGTCAATCTGAACATCGAAGTAAAGCCAAACGGCTGCCTTAAAACAGCAATCAGCGACGTTTTCTGGTAGGATCAACCGTTAAATCTCTTTTATACGAAGTGAAAGTCTTCCCAAAAATGGTATCTTGGGAGATTAATCGAAACAAAGTTGCTCTTCGTATCTTTAAGGAGTTGTAATTTAGTGCTTCTCATTATTGCTGCCGACCATTAGATCTGTGAAACTTAGAGGAATGAACTTAGCCACTGACCTGAGGCTTAATATCTACTATAAAATCGGAATACTTTACATAATATATAAACGAGATGTGTTCACCCTATTTCGTGTAAGGTGATGAAGGACTGGTAGTATAATTTTCCCACAATGATATGAGTTGAGCTGACGTTTCCATTGAATTTCACAAAGCCTTGCTTTCCTAAAAGTTGTTCTCATCCGGGGTGGACTGCAGTTTCGACCTCGCATTGGTCTTTTCAACACCCTCAGCGGGATTAGAACCGCGACAGTGCAGGACGGTAGCTTGACACGCTAACCACTGGGCTAACCACGCTAACATCTCATTACACTGATTTACTGGTAGTCTCGAAACCCTACTCAAATACAACTATAAGTTACGTTGTCGATTGCTATAGCAAACATATGTTTGCTTCATCGGCATTCCCACA